GCTTCAAAGAAACAAACGTAAAGACAAAAATAAAAAAATAAATTCTAATTTAATAATATAATCTTTCTAGATTGGCTAGAATATTCTCATTTAGTTACCTTTTTCTCCGCAGTTTTTAAAGTATTTTTTATTCTTCAGATCCAGAGACTGACCGTGAAACTATATGTGATAATAATTCAAATAATTATTTACTCACTATAGATGAATGATAGTCCCACAAACAGTTAAACTACAAAATAATTATTTTACAACACACCTTTTTGGAATGCCTCTACATCTAGTAGCTCTAAGTCTCCGTCGCATGATGACGACATCCCATTTACTATTACCTCCTGGTGGAAGTTTTTGGTACTTCGAGTGTATGAAGTGACATCAGATTCTGTAGGGAAGTTTTTCTTTTTCGTCAGAGGACATTTAATTGAGCTGTTTCGTTCCTTCGTGCTCGCAGATTGAAGATCAACTTGTTTAATGGCTTGGCTATTTTTTTGTGTTACCGAAAGAGGGCGCATTTCTAAAATCGTTGTTGAATCACTCTCTTTAAATGAAATTTTTCTGACATCTGGTGTTGAGGACGTTATGATAGAGTCAGAGTCCATTTTATGATTGGATTGTTTCCGTTTCGTGTCCTTCAAACATGCTCTTCGTATTTCTTTGGAGCTGCAGAAGAAGATGAAAGGATATTCATCAGGGTACAGCAAAATGGCCGACTGTAACTGTTTAAATAATACTAAAACAACTACAGCTAAAATGGCCGACTGTAACTGTTTAAATAATACTAAAACAACTACAGCAAAATGGCCGACTGTAATTGATTAAATAATACTAAAACAACTACAGCAAAATGGCCGACTGTAACTGTTTAAATAATCCTAAAACAACTACAGTAAAATGGCCGACTGTAACTGTTTAAATAATACTAAAACAACTGCAGTAAAATGGCCGACTGTAACTGTTTAAATAATACTAAAACAACTACAGTAAAATGGCCAACTGTAACTGTTTAAATAATACTAAAACAACTACAGTAAAATGGCCGACTGTAACTGTTTAAATAATACTAAAACAACTAC